CCCTCCTTGTCAGTATATTAGAAGGTAGCAACAAGCTGTGCTGCTCAACACTCAGTTATATCTAGGTTCCCATACCTGGAATGCAATCTGGATCCAATCTGTTCCTCATATTGTCATTTCCCTCAAGACATGATAGGGGAAAGTATAGCCTGTTCTTCCTATGCTTCCCCAAACGTCTTTTGCAACCATTTCTTCTGGAAGGTGACACAGGACGACCACTAAGTACCAGATACACCATTCATCCCTATTTTGGGGGACACAAGTGCCTTCTACTGCACATGGAACAGAACCACAAGGAGGCACTTAAAGGTTGAATCCCATCTCCAGCAGGGCAACAAGCCTGTGGGCTGGATCAGAGCCTTCCAAAGAGATGGGCACAAGCACAGGCAGCCAAGAGACTCTGCACACACGTGGAGTGGAGGCTGTAAGCAGGATTTCCAACCAAGCTCACCTGAAAGGCTGCCCATTGCAGAGCAGCACACCCCTGCTTCAGAGGATGTCAGCCTCTGCAACATATCCTTAACTTCCATTCATTCCTGCAGCCACATGAAGTGATGCCTGACCTTGGTAGATTAAGAGAAGCAGAGTGAGATGCAGAGAGAGGTGTTTTAATGCCGTGATCACGCTGTGTGGGCTCTCAAATCCCTACAGAAGAGGCCAACACTAACTGTTGTTTCTGTAATAGTTTCATCAAAATCAGCACACAGCACCACAAGCCAACTCTGATAACACTCCCATATCCATTCACACAGCAAGAAAAATGGGGAGAAAGGAGAGGAGCTATTTTGCAGGATGTGAAAATGGAGCCTATAGCAGTGACGTACCAGAGAACTTGTTATTTTCTCTGTAGAAATATTTCATGTCATGCCTCTGACCCGTGAAAATAGTTTAACAGGGAACATTCCAAACTGATTTTTACAGTTATTTTTTTGGCCTCAGGACTGAAGTATAAAAGTAACCAGACAATTTGCGCAGTTTCTGGTAAAAGAGATGAAATAAAAAAAGGCTGCTATTAAACAGCTTTATAGTGACTACAGTGTGCTGGAATCATCATACGTATATTAATATAATACTGCTGCCTTCCACTTGCCTCAACCCTAAAGTGATAAACTGGAAAAAGTTATCCCAGCAATTGCCTGAAGCAGTGAAGAGTATATTTACATACAGCACAGGGCATTTGTGGGGTTTAGGGAGGGAATACCATTTAAACAACCACATGCACATTTTACAAATACATTGCACAGCACCTTTCTCTGCCTGCTGTACCATTTATATTTTATAGGAATCTTTGCAGCTCTAGGAGCCCAGTGTTAATTTAAACACTGCATCCTGCAGAGAAGGATGTCATTTGGATGTTTTTGCTCTGTGATTGCCATCTTGTGGCCACAGAAACCCATCCTGCTCCCTGTTTGCTGCTCCAAAACAAACCCATCTTGGAAAAGGTAACCTTTTGGCTACTGCTTGAGCTGCAAGGGATGATTTAGAGCTTTGGCTGTCAACAAGACAGGTTGTGGTGTCTTGGTGAACGGCTCAGCCAAAGCCCTCAGCCCTGTGCACATAAATATTGGTGAGGAAGGATGAAGGTGCAGGGGCAGGAGCTGACTCTGCTTTCCCAAGAGCAGGGGAACTGCCCCTGCTTAGTACCACTAATGATATGTTAAAGTCATCGTTTGATGACAAATTAAGCACAGCTGAGGTCACACTGCAAGTCACTACAGGAAAAGAATTCAGCAATTCCCACAATACCACCCTTTGTCCTTATATCATCCCACCTGGGAAAGCACACATATATTGCTTTAAGTGCCATTTAGCATCTGTTGATTGAAACCACATGAAATACTGTTTGATGAGCATCTAGTTGTGCTTAAAAAAAAATACATCTCTTCAAATACATACATTTCAGAATATATTGGCTTGGATTCACACGCTGCTACACAGCATAAGCAGAGCAAAAATAAATAATTTTATTAAAATTACTACCCACAGAGTGCCTTGCCGTGAGTTTAGGGCATTTCACATAGAGAGACACCACATATCTGAAGCCAAATGAGACTTTTCTGCTGTGGTTATAAAATTTATCATGCAAAACATCATTTTATCCATGCCACCAACTGAGTATTTTGATCCTTGCTCTCAGACTCATTGTGTAGTTTAGCACATCTCCAGCATGAAATATGAATACATTGTAATTCCAACAACCACAAAACCCAGAGGCTGGAGCTTGGAAGGATTCCCAGCAAGAACTGCGAGGCAGAAAAATCACCCAAACTCTTTAATGCTCATTAAAGGGACAAATATAATTCAGTCTTAAATTTCACTAACAGGTTTCAACCAAAAGGGAGCCTTAAGGCTTCCTAAAGCAGAGTTGAAAGGTTAAACAAACAAACAAACCCACACAAACCCAACAACAACTTCTCCTTTAGAGGTGCCCTCTAGATTGGGCACCCTTCTAGATCCCAAAGTTTGATGAACCTCCTTTTGTGTTCTGGTCTTTTCTGAAAGCATCCACCTTACCCACCCCACAAGAGATTTTTATTTTAAGAATTCTTATTTTAATATGTGTTTGCAGGTGCTAGAGAGAAAAAATAGTTTAAAAAAACCACCACCTCTATATCCCAAGGACTCATAAGAAGGGAGACTTGCAGATAATGGTTCTTCCTTGGCTCTCCCAACAGCTGTTCTACCCAAGTTTTTGTGTCCTTTAGGGCTTCTCTGATTCTGCTCAATTATGCCAGCTCTAGCAATAAATTATAGCACCTACATATCTTACCCCTTCTATGGGTATACATAGACCACTATGGCTACAGCAAATACCACAAGACATTTTTCCCTATTTCATCCCCATTCTGGGATCTTCCAGCCTCTTTTAGCCTCTCCTTTTCCAAATAAGTGTCTGGAGAAACAGAAACATCTGTTAATGGTACCAAACCCTTTCAGCCAGGGAATGGCATTTGCAATCTCACAGCACAGATCAATATGTAAGTGCTTTCAGAACAAAAACAACTTAATTATTCCACCCAAGGCTCACACATAAAAAACAGACATAGTTTAATTATTTTTGGGGAGACCATTTATTTGTTCAAAGAAGAAAAAAACCAAAGACCAAATACATTAGGTAGAGCTTTGTCTTGAGATCAGCACTAACCCACCAAGCACAAACCAGGAGGGCATTTAATGCTTCAGGCTCACCCTCATTTACCTGCTCCAGAGCCAGGAGAGAGCAAAATCTACAGTTAAGCCTGTTGCAAATTGCAAATGGAGAAAGGACCACACACAAACACCACTTTCCTCCTCCCTTCAGGAGCTCTGAGCCTCTCCTCCCTGCTCTCACTATTGAGCTGACCTTAAAGTTTCCTCCTCCTTTCCTCAGCACCCCTCTGGAGAACAACAATCCACATGAAGTTCACGAAGAAGCAGCACAAAGCTTCAGGCTGGCAGTTTTTCCCCATCTCTTTCTAAAGCTCCTGTGTGAGCAGTGAGAACATCAAGCTTGGGTTGCAATCCAAGCTGCTCCTTATTCATCTTCCTTATGACATTTGTAGCTTCGACACCCAGCCAAACCCACCCAATTAGTGAGTCTCTCCTGCAGCACAGATACTCCAGAATGCTCAGATCAGACTCAAACTTGTTTGCAGACAAAAGGCAGCAGAACATTAAGTGTGGATTTCCCTCTTTGGGAAAAAGGGACTTCAACTGTAAAATAAATAAATAAATAAATAAATAAAAATAAAGCTTTGCAGTAGATTAGAGAAAAATGAGGAAAAGCTGTATTTTAAGAGGCAACTAGTAACAGATGTAATCAAAACAGCCACTCACAATAACACATCGGATCTGAGGCAGCTGTGCCTCAGAAATCCAGGGACAGAGCAGCAAAGGGCAATGAGGGAGCCCAGGGCCATCCCTGCACCCACACGTCCCCAGTGCTGCACAGGAGCCAGCAGCCACTACTGTCTCTGCTTCAGCAATTCCCTGAAAACAACATGGGGTGCTGTTTTAACCCTTAAAAGTTTTCTTTTAAGTGACCTAAACCAAAGAACTTCTTACAATAGACAGAACTCAAATCCACTGGCCAGAAGAATGTTGTTAAGAGGGGTCTATAAACACCCTCCACACACACTTGCACCCTTGCAGAGCAGAGTCTTTCCTCCAGCCTTGGAGCCTCATCACTCAAGCTGCTCTAGTTCTTCAGAAAAACAACTATTTCAGTCCCCTGAGAGAACAAGCAGCACCCTACCCCCCGTCACCCCAATATCAGCGGTCCCCACTGGGCCCTGCTCCCTCCCCGGGGAGGAGGCAGCTCCAGGGATCAGGCTGGTCCCTCTCCCCTCTGGCACAACCAGGAGAAGGCAAAGACAATCATCCCCTCGACTGCCCAGACACTCCCTTCCCTAAAGGAAATTAAACACACAAACCTCAAAGCAAATAGAGCTGATATATTCCATCAAAGCCCTATTCAGAAAGGTTCCCTCAAGTTCAAGGAAACCAAGGGCTCGGAGTTGAAAGTCATAATTAAAATCAAGCTTTGGAGGCTGTGGATGGCTGGGATTGGAACAAACACCCTCTCTGACCTCATGACCACTTTATCCCCAAGGAATGGAGATCTTGGAATTATCTCTCAGTCTCTTGGCAATCAAACATCAAGGGGGCAATGTCACAGAGACACACCGGGGTCACTCCCCAGCCCCAAGGAGAACAGTGACAGTGCAGTGTCTGGAGGGTTTACCCCACAGAAGTGATGGGGACATTAACAATTGCAGCAATGAGCATTGTTTAAACAAGATGACATGAAGGTCTCCCCCTGAGGGACCGCACAAATCATAAACTGCCTTTCTAAGGACGTTCAAAATGCAACAATGAAACTTCTATCAAAGAAAGATAAACACTAACATGGGATTAGCAGTGTCCAGCACTTTGACATGTGATGTGATCCAAAATTCACGTGAGCAGCAGGAACAGTAAAAGAAACCCTAAGCACCCTGATGTTTTTTTCCCTTTAATTTCAAGAGGTCCAGAAACTGAAGAAATGAGTCTTTTCCTCCAGATTCTCCCTTCCAAATGTGACCTCAGAAACATCAGAAAGAGGGTTAGTTCCATTTTGTCTATGATTTCCTTGGAAGATTTTCCCACCTCTTGTAAGATTAGGGCAAAAAAACCACCCTCCAAATTATTTACTATTAATTTAGTTTGAAGAGGAAAACAGGAGGTAAACATCTTTCCTAATACACTTCCAGTATTCTGTCAGTGATGTTGACTGTTGCTACTAGTAACACATCCTGTCAAGCAAAGAATTTCTTTTAATTGGCTTTTTGTGTGTGTGTGACCAGTTTGTTTCTGCAGATCTTTTACACATCAAGATAAGGCAAGAACTGCAGTGCTTGAAAGCCAGGTTACTGTAAACCACCAAAGGTGACAGAGTCTTGAAATTATTTAGGTGACTTTTTTTGCTACCAATAACAGCATCCATAATACCACCTGATAACCTTTTCTTTGATCAGCTTTTTGACTGCCACAAGTTCATATTAGTTCTAACTCAGCACTGGTGTAGGATTGAGGTCTATGCTCAATCTGGCTACCCAGTTTAAATTAGAACTACTTTATCATGACAATATTACATTCCAAAGGTACCTGCTTCACTTACCTAGGCCAGCAGTAATTAAAACATTTTTCCTCTCTGATACAAGTTTCTCTATGAAGATTAAATACCATTCTTATAATACAAATGAACACACCTAGAGGTTGTGTGTTCTCTGAGACACGGTTAATCCACTGATGTGTAACGTGGTGAAAATAAAACATTACTGGTATTTTCTGTAAGGGTTAAAAGTTCAGAATACAAAACCATAGTGTGAGATACAGCAAACAAAACGAGAAAGAGCAAACAGTGCAATCAGAAATGAGAAATAAAAAGTGAAATGAGAAAGAAATAAAAGGAAAACAATTAATTGCCTCTATGACCAGGCTCAGTTTACAGCCTGAACCTCCTGTTCACACTGACAGACCCATGTTAAGGGGCAGCACTTTGCTCACACCACCCCTGGCACTGCCTCAAACAGCATTTGCTGTTAAATGGTTATCAACATGCAAAGAGATCCGGGTAGATTTCTCATTATGAATTTACTTCTGGTAACACAATATTATCTCAAACACTCCAAACAACCAAAAAAGGATCATTATTTCTTAAAAAAACAAACAAAAAAACCCAAACCAAAACAAAAAAAAACACAACCAAAAAAACAACCAAAACAACCACACACACAAAAAAATCCCAAACAAACAAACAAAAGGACTCCACCAAAATTTCTCTAAAAGGGTATAATAGCTTCCTTTGGTCTGAAGAGATAAAAAAATCCAAAACAACACAAAAACCAAACCCACAAACCACATAATGGGGAAAGGGAAATGGTTGGGTTTGGGTTCTTTTATTCCTGCTTTTGCATTACATAACATTCTGATTCCAAAACAAATATTTAGAAAAAAGTTGATTTTCCATTGAAAAGTTCAGTAAGATGAACAGGAAAACACAAGTGCCATCATGTGGCACCGAAGTGTCTAAAATTCATGTTTATTTTCTCTAGATGTATAGTATTATTAAACACATACACATAGTAGGAAAAATCTTATAATTAAAAATATCTGTAAATATGTCCCAGAAATCCTCTGAACTTACAATGTCAAATTTCAGGACTATCAGCCCACAGTTAATTCAGTGTGTTACAGAAATGGATTGTAGTCCCAGTCTATCACCAGCTCCAGAATATTTCATCATAAAGGGCTATTTTTTTCCCCAAAGATTTTTATCCAAAGAGACAACAATCCAGAAGCAGTGTGGAACAGGTGCTTCTCTAGACACCAGAAAGCCCGAGTCAATTATGTGCATAACTATGAGCAATTCTAACTTTGAAGAGACTTCAAATGAGGAAATATAGTATTGAATTAAAATCAAGTAAAAAAAATGACATTTAAAATTTATTTTCTTTTAGTTTTTTTTCTTCTACTGCTCCAATTGAGTCTTTGTATTCCTCCTGTACCCCCTCCTGTGACAGGAAACCACAGCATAATTATCCCTTTTATCAAACCACAAGCTTTATCTTAAAACCAGGTAAGGTTTCTGCCTTCCACAACTGCAAGAGGAAGGTTGTTTCAAAACCTCATTACATCAGCTATTACTAACATCTTTCTTCTTTCATCATAAATTTGTCTATAAACAGTGACATGGATAAATAATTGTTTCTTCACATCACTGTTGTCCTTCCATTTGGATACCACATTTATTTACTCTTCTGAGAGAATTTTGCCCAGGACATCACCAGCTTCTCAAACTCATGATATCAGAATTTCCCTGCAACCTTGTATGTTCGTTATCAACTCAGGTTCCATTTCCTTGCCCAAATTTCCAATATTAATACACAGATATTGCTGGGTAACCACTTTTCCCTGACCTTCGCCAGAACTTGGAAGCAAGACATTGTATGTACACAAGAGAGCATTAAATGGGTATAGATTATGAAGCAAAAGTCTTCAACAGTAACAACATACAGTGATTGATCAACCAATTTTCTGGGCAGATGATATTTGAAGCAATTACTTTTAGTTGCAAAAAACAAGATAAAGTGTTAATTGAAAGCACTACAATATTGTTCACCTGTTTATTTTTCCATTCCCTAGAAGGAAATGGGCGCTCTTCATTTAGAGCTTCTAATTTACACATGTTAATCTTATTAATATATACAGATTACTGAAAATCTTCAGGTTTTACTGGTGTGACCATGTGGATTTCCAGACTGCCACATAAGCTCTGAATCCTGGCTCACAAAATGAGACTGACCTCAGCAGCGAGCTCCATCAGATGGATATTTCTTTTTCTGAATTAAGAAAACCATCCTCCCCTTTTCGAAGTACCACTTATAATTTTAGTTGCTTGCAATATTCAAGTGTACTGCATATGTACAAACAGCGCATAGAGAAAATTTTGCCCAAATTCCATTTGTGTGAAAACATTCCTAGAACTTTGTCAGATTGTACTTGATATGATCTCTCAGGCATTAACTAGCCTTTATTTAAAAGTCCTTTTTAAAAGCGCAAACTCTTAATTAGATTTCACTAAATGAACTTTTACCTGTCTTTTATATAACATATAAAAACCAGACTTGACTGTCTGTGTCTTGCAAGACTAAGAGACCACTGGGAAGATTTTCAGTGGGAGCTTTCAGAAAGAACAAACCACAAACCAGCAGCTTCTGCTAATGAAAGGTGCTGCTATTTCACAACACAAGCCTCATGGAGAGGCTGTCCATGAAGACACATCAGTCCTTTGCCCAGTGCTTGAAGACCCTTGTAGTGATAAAATGAATGACATTATTCAGCTGGTTTTCTAACCTGTATTTACACCAGCTCTGAAAATGGCAGTGTTTTCCCAGGTGCACTGCCCTTTTCCCAGGCTCTATCATTATTAGCTTGTTACACCCCAGTGATTTCAAAACCCTAACTTTTCGTTCCTGTCATATTCGCTATTTTATAATCTTTAAAAGAAAAGGGAGAGGAAGTCCATAGTAGCCTATAAAATATTATTTACTCAATAGGTGGATGGTTTCTTTCAAGCAGTCACTACCTACCTTCCACAGCTACAAATAGAAATGATGAAGTACAAGAAACCTTCACACAATTCTTCTGAAAAATGCAGCATTTCTGTGAACAATAACTACCTCCAGTATCTCTTTCCTCATTCCCATAAAAACTTCCATTACCCTTTTTCCTTCCTGTACGAAGATGGGAGAGCACGTGTGCCAGTGACTACACTGTGCATCAGTACAAGAACATGGTATGGCACTGGAGCCTGTACACTCAATTTATAACTTAATCAACAAATGAAACCAACACAGAAAGGGGAAAAAAAAAGTTGGAAAATTGAGATCCCAATCTTAGAGGTAATGTGCTTGCACATAAAAGGAAAGATCACAGAGGAGCTTTTCCCATCCATACAAATATCTACTTAGCACTTACAGCAAAAAACAGGAAACTATGTTGTCTGGATAATATGTTCCTGTGAGGTTTAGTCTGGAGCACAGGGGATGTAGATAATACGTGTGGACAGAGTGCCAATAAAATGCACAGGTGAGTTACTCCTGTGATAGAAACCATCCCCACCGTGCTCCCTCCAAAAGAGCTCAATACCTTCGTTCCTAACTGCAAAAACACTGATATCCACAGTTGGAAGGCTCTATCAAACCAGAATTGCTCTATTAGCAATAAATGAGAAGTTAAACACTTGCCAGGTCTGGGGATTTAGATGAGGAACATGAAGCGGTTTTATCAAACTAATTTCTTCATTTAACGAATGAAGATTCCTAAGTCCTGTGCGTTTGGAATCACACTCTTACAGTTTTATCTTTAAGAAGTAAAAAAGATGATTGCAGAGGGCTAAGGCAGGTTTACTTTCCTGGTATTCTTCAGAATGGATATCTTGCATGATTGAGCAGAGCTTTGTTCAATTCTCAAAGCAATTTACTAGAATTGAGAACAGAACGTTTGGTAGAGCAACTTGTTCAGTCCTGGATGATTACTTCTTATTCCAAAACAATTACAATAAAGGGAAAATGGGTTATGCTCCTGTAAAAATATGACTCTTTCCAAATAGCAGCAGAGAAACACATGGATACACAATCACAGCCACAGAGCCCACTAAAGAAAACAGAGTCAGTCCATATTTTGCCAAGTACCACCAAATTAAAACTCATTGAGTTCTTCATTTTTAATAATTTTACAAGAGCTATATGAAGTAGGATATATGCCCTATAGTAATCAGAAATGTGCTTTTTCTCATTCTGTGTTATTAGCTCCAGTTCCATGCAGGTTGGAAGTAGCTGGTGCAATGTTGAACCACAATACAAGCAGAGCCAGGGTATTACTTGGGACTGAACCTCTGATTATTGGATCAAAGAAAATGAAAAGCCATTGCTTTGCACTGTACTTGTTCCACTGACAAAGGATTTCTCTCAGCTCTGGAAATAAGAACTTTCCATTAAAAAGCTCTAGGCTGTGTTCCTCATACTATTTACTCTCTAGAACTGCAAATAGGGGAAGGAAAGCAGATTCAATTTTCAGAGGTTTCTGCAACTGTAAATGAAGCCTATTTGGAAAATTGAGACCTCATCAGCTTCTGTCTGAGGAGGGAAAGCGAGGGATAAATTCATTTCAAGTCTGTGATAAGGTTGTTGAATGAAATGAAATACAATAAAAATCATTTAGCAGTCAGAGAAAATATAAAGAGAGACAGCGAGGTTTGAACTCTTAAGCTCTTCATTCAGGCAAATAGTCAGCAGAGTTTTAACCTTTATATAAATATCTTACTTTCCAAAATTTACCAAGCCAACAGCACATGATATATATACAATGAAGTCACATTACCAACACACCAACCCCTAAATACTGTTCTGTATCACAGGGTTTGATAGGACCCCCAAAGCCCACAGAGCTCCACATTTCTCTAACACACTTGTCTATCTACAGCACTTGGAACAACCTAGGGCAAGTGAGACTTGAAAAAACAGCCTGTGATTCTTGTGGATTTATAGGGATCAAGGAGAACTAGAGATGCATCCACATGTGGGTCTGTCGATGCATGCCAGGGACACATTCCAGTGCTCCAGGTATTTGCCAATGGCAGGTTCCTTCAAGGGAAGGCATTCCTACATGGCAGGAGGATGATAAATAGGCTTGTAGGAGGATACAGTAAATTTTTCCCTTTTCACAAAGTTCCTCTGCATAACAGTCTCTTCAGCAGAGCTTGAATCCTCCCCACCTGTGGCTTCACCTCAAAGTGCCTCACCTGAGAACTGGCTGTTCCCAAGGCTTCATAGAAACACTGAATGTTTGCAAAAGTCACTTCACCAAAAGACAAGGGCCACATTCCTTAACCTTCACAGTGCACAGATGTAAATGACAACAAAGTACAAGTACAAAGTATAGGAAAGACAGAAAAGGAGCAAACTCTGAGGATAAATGGATATTTTAACATCTGTGTTTCTCTCTCATTTACATCTCTGGGCAGAGACTGCCAGGAAGGCAGCTAATTAGTGCTAAATCTGGTGAGCAATTTTTGGATGATGAGTATACCTGTCTATAAAGAAACAAAATGAGACCAGCAGCTTATTTTGCAGGCTGGAACGAGCAGCCATCAGGTGGTGATTATTTTCTGCCTATGAATTAGAAACTGTCTGGGAGAACTAAAAATATTTGGAGTCCATGCCCTACCTTACCTCCTGAGCCAGTTTTGGGCTACCTGCCCTTCCTTGGTGTGTCCAGCCCAGCAACAAACTCACACCTTGCAAGTCAGAATAAATTGCAGAGCAGTACTTGTAGCAACACGCCAGCTTTACAGAGGTTTTCTCTCTCCAACAGATAGGTCTATATATAAATTAATTAGGTGAGGTTGAAGTGCTGCTTGTTGAATATTAAAATGTCTGCTTTTGCTGCCCCTTTGTGGGAGAAGCACGTGCAGTGTCAGGCTGCTGCAGTGCCAGGTTGCTGCAGTTTGTATGCCAGCCATGTACCCAAACAATTACTTTCCAATGCAGCTGACATCACTCGCCCTCCCGTACTGGAGCTGTTCATCAGATGTCTTGCCTCTGCCATGTATCACTTGATTCTCTCTGAATTAATCTACTGGGTCATGAAACCTGCTCATTTTAAGTTTTTATAAGATCGTTACAATTTTTTAACCCTCTTCCATACTCTTCAAATGACTTTAGAGTCTAACTCACAGCTAAACAGCAGAATAGATTAACTTACCACCTCAGAACGAGAGACAAAGCTGAAGAAAATGGATTTCCTTTTCTAAAATATAACCTTGCAAGCATTTTGGGGAAGACAACATACCTTAGCTTTGTGCTTGCCTACTGCCTACAGCAAAGGGGCTCTGGTCTGTGGCTGGGCTTGCAGATGCCATCTTAATACACAGTAAAATTATACAAGGCAGAGGAATTCAGGCCTTACTTTGGAGAAGCTGAAAATGGATTTATGTATATGTGTATAGAAACAAGATATAATATATAATAATAATAATAATGGCCAGTCTTCACGAACGAAGATCTGGGGAAAGGTCTTTTACCTTTCCAGCCTGCGCAATGGATTTTTTAGGTGAGACACAGCCTGCGCTGAACTGAGCCCACCCTTTAATCCTAAGGTTCATCTGCCGGGGCCAAGCAA